TCATATGATTTCAGTTTTGACGTAAGTCACTACGAAGCAGGCAGTTGTTAGCAGGTGAAAGACCAGCATGTTTGGATGCTCACACCGTTTGGTATTCAAGATTAGACACAAATTGCTGGTAGAGTCCCAAGGTAGTCGTTTCGTGGCATTCGTGCGGTGGATACCTCTGGAAGGGAAAAAATGAAGAGCAGGCATAAACAGGCTCGGAAACACTATATTACACCTGGGTTGGCTACTTTGTGCCGGAAGCTGTGCCCATCTAACTGTTCTAACTAGTTCAGGAAAGTGCATTTCGTTTGTAATATAGCCCACCTTATGTTGTGGATGTTTCTCTGGGATGACATATGGTGGGCCTTTCATATTGGAGGCTGAGAGGCGCTTGAAATTCTGTGACAGCAAACCATGTGTGTATGTGCAGTTGTGCCTATCTTTGAAGATATAAACTGCCATTTCCTGTTCACAGCTTGCAGCTGATCTTAAGTTAGCCATCCGATATCAAAGTCGGTCGATGTACGTCGACTGGTCGATTTCGCTGCCTTCAGTACTGGGACTGATAAGGTCACCGGGGAGTCCTAGGATGGTAACGAAAACTAATTCTGACGCTGGACATTGAGCCTCGGTCCCGATTGTTGTCAAAATTCCAAATCGTACCACTGGGAGATACTCTGTTCACTGAGCGGGATCCGGGTGCGATGCCAAGGCGGCCTGAAGTGTCAGCGAAATCTTTCCACCAAGCCGTTTGCCTGTGGGTGGTTTGTTGTCCAAGGAATTCCATATGAACCGGGGAACGTCGTTGAGTTGTTACAGAGCCCTGATTCAAACTGCACCCCACTAGCGGTGGCGATCGGTGCAGGAACACCAAATATCAGCTCCCAATGTTACTTTTGACACTGTTTCTGCAATAATACCCATGAGTGGAACGGCTAGCCGAAACCCTGTTTATCTGTTAATGCGTGTGAGTAAACATACGGAGCCGTTAGAATGGAGTAAAGGGCCTGCCAAACCCAGACATACGAGTTCAAAACGCATACTGGGTTCAGATAACTCTTCTTAAGGTGAAACTGTAGGTAGGTTTACCTTATATTGTTCACATGCCCCACATTCCTCAACCCAGTTTAGCAAATCTGGCTGTAAATTCGGCCAAATACATCTATCAGAAATAAGTTTGGCTGAGGCTTTCGCTCCAGAGTGTGGCTACGAGTTAGAATTATTAAACACTAACTCTCTCATGCTCTTAGGCACATAAGGTCCAACCGAAACTCCATGTTACAATAAATAAGCCTGTCATCTATAGGTGAAGGTAACTGCTTGAGTTTCAGGCTACAGATACTACTCGAAAGAAAATTTCCCAGTTCCTCGCCTTTCGCTTGACTTGCAGCTGAAGCCTCGGAACAGATAGTAGATTGATGAATGATCCTGAAGTTAACTCCAGGCTGAGCGTCGGCCACGCGACGTTGTGTACCTCTAGCATGTTTATGCAGCTCTTAAATTGCGATGCTAGATCAGGCTGGCGAATTTCGCGCGGTGAGTATTTATCACGGTTTGCATTTAGCGCATGTCAGGAGCTTGTGGTGCGTGTAGGCCTTCTACCATGTGGCGGAAGTGCATAATGGCTGAGGAGTTGGCCGATAGCTCCTAGACAAACACTGAATATCAAGCAATGGGCGGACGTAAATAACGCCCCTGGTTGCCATTGATTTTCTACCGACCTACTGGGTGTTGTTCCCTCAGCCGCGTCGGAGGCGCCGACCATAAATGCTAGTGGCGCACTCACAGCAAGGTGTCCTAGAACTGTGGCCCCTGCTGAAGCCGTTTTCACTTTGTCAGTAACTTCTGTAGGGAGCCTAAAGTCCTTAGGATCTCGACTCAAGGCGTTGGTTAGAGGTTGCAGGACTACGTCGTCATTTGTGTTTTATTGGTGGCCTGTCACGTGGCTGTGGACCTTTGGTTTCAGTGCCTGTCTTCGTTTTGTGGGGAATTACAAAAGCGGCCACCGTATCTACCAGGAATTCTGTGCCATAACTTCCGTCCGCGACATAGGATATGCGACTGCTCGTGCACCCCTTTCAGAAGCTGCTGCCCAAGGAGAGGTCATCCACTTCCCTGTTTGCCCAGAGATTACTCGAACCAGGCTCATGATTCTGCATATCTTTCAGACTGCAGGTCGTTCTTACGGTGGCACCAACAACACTATGAACTTCAGAGACGATCTATGTCCACTTCTTGATGAATGTCCAATCGGTAACCCGCCTCTCTGGGTTTAACCCGGCTAGATCTGAGCTATAGCTTTTGCTGGTGCCTCCACGTTTTCCCTTAATTTTGTGATGATTGTGTCCATAGATGACCCTTGAGTAGTGTAGCACACTGCACAGGTGTCCGGGGTCGTACCTCTTTCTAGAATACGATCTGCCACGCTAGCCTGTTCGGGAAGTGTGGTCATTGAATCCTGTGCGTCAAGAGTACGTTGGGCATAGCGCAGAAGTACCTGGGACCAGCCCACTTTTAGGATGGCCCCTCCGACGGAACCATCTCACGCCATCTTTTGTAAGTGCCCAAAACGCCGGGATGGTGACCTACTTCCCAACATCTCCGTTTGCGACAGATGTCAGATGCGTTGGCTGCCAGGCACCGATAGACGGCCAGGGATCTCACGCTTGAGAGTGGGATGAGGTCGCTCCTCCTGGGTGCTAGGTATGGGGCCACCAGTTCCTCTGCCAACCACCAAAGGAAGTGTGGGACATAACTCCTTGCGTCGCAGTCCCTCGCGCTGCATATTGTGACGATCATGGAAATGCTGTAGTTGAGGGAGCCACAATTAAGGGTCTTGCAGGGCGAAATCTGGTCCTCGACTGCTACTAACCACCAGAGTGTCCACCTCAGGTGGGACAGGCTCTTTCGCAATGTTGTGATTTTCATCACTCAGGATAGAAATTGTAATATAAAAAAAACAAATAATAAGTAAGCAATTTGGATGAATGCACGCTGTTGGGCTCATCACTTTCAGACCCGGGGCCCGTGGCGAACGCTGAAAACAATTTGATTTGGACAGTCACAAAGAAACAAGCCAGAGGGCAGTGACAGTGGTGCAACGTGCTTATCTGAAGGACTCTGATGAGCGATTGAAAGGGATAAACTTGAACAAGTACGTCAAAAGTTATTCATCATTCAACAGAAATCAGTGGTAAACATAAAGCTTCCGAAAGGTGGAAGTTCATGATCAGCCCCACTCGGCTGTTCAGACTCACAGGAACCTGTGGCATAAAGGAAGATTTTATTTCGGTGATTTTTCACGAAAGTCGGTGTTTCCGTTTTGTTTGTGGCTTGAAGGGGTGGCCTGATGGAGGTTGTAGACCGCAGCCAACACGGTTTGGCCCTGTTGTCGTGGTTTCGAGGGAAAAATTTCTCGGAAAGGCCCATTGTCAGACCTCCGTTGACAAACAACTCCTCGCATACGTGCGAGCACATCAGTAGCTGAGCTGATGCCTAGCTCAGCGTTACGAAGCGACTTGACTAGGCGTTTGCTAACCGTGAGATCACGTTTCTTCAGAAGGGCTGCTTGGCTTGGGATCACTTACTTCAGGACCGAACATGTGTGCTGTAACGTGCCTGTTCCGTTCCCGTGGTAATGAACGCATGACAGCAAGAACCCGAGTGCGTGGATCTGCTACTCCATGTACCCGGAAATCTGCCTTGGCATACAGAATTCATACTTCTGCATTGTCTGGCCATTATGGCGCGAGCTGGATAGTGTTCTTTGTCGGCTTAGTGCGAATAACTTTTGGAACATGGTCGAACATGGAAGGGAGTTAAATATGGGTATATAAAGGTTATCAGTGCACAAACGAGGATGCACAAGTATGAGAAGGGATGGGTTCACCAGTTCGGGAATTGTTCCTGTGAGATTTTGACAGACAGACACCAGTCACCAATTATTCTTACTTGTAAAATACCCACGAATGTGTGACCAAGGAAGAACGCAGTAGCGAAGTCAGATGGGAGTGGTATATTTGAAAGTTCGTGCGAAAATGCCAACGCTTTCCGACTGGCTGTCTGGGAGGTTGATTAGGAGCAGCGAAACGCAACACAACAGGGTGCCAGATGACACGGATGCTTGACCGTGTAGCTTCAGCTTAGTAATCCCGTCAAAATGATGAGGGTCAGCATCAGTGTCGAATCTCGTCGAACCCTAGGCCATTGATTTTAGGAAAGTTTGTGCCGCTGACACCTACTTGAGGATTTCCGTGAGGTCCACCTGTAAGACCAAAATATCTGTTAGCATATGAATTTCCTTTCAAATCTTCATATCAAATATTATTGAATGAGAATCGAAGGATCCTGGTATGGCATTACTGACAGCAAGAAACTATGATTCACTCCACTCAGAAATGAGAAGCAGATGGATAAATAGGAGCCAGCCCTAAGTGACTGCAACCTAGCTTGGGGGAGTCTCCGGCCAGATTGGTAGTCTTCCATGTGCACACATAAGCTGAAGTTAATTAAACAAGAAATTATGAGTCACTCTATCACAGGCCCTAAAAAGTCAGGCAAACCAGTGTGAATGGGCTTTTTGTGCCCAACAAAGAGAGTCCAGCTATTCCAAGCTACCAACATGTTGGTATTGCATGATCTCTCAGGCAAAAGACCATGTTGACAGTCACTTAAGATTGGCTGTTAAAGGTAGAATTGCACCTCCACTTTGCTGCCAGTTGTTAGCGTAGTATTCTTTTTTGCTATATATTAAATGATATTTTACGGCGTTGAAACACTTCTCATTCAATTGCAAATTGGACAGGATTATACAGGATTAATATATGCACTTTTCAGAGTTTACATTTCCTATAATTGTTGCAGGTACGAATGATTATATTTTGAGAATATTCTGCTCACTTGATTATCTGCATCAATTAAATAGTAGTTTGGGTTTTCGGTTCAAATTCGAAGTTTTCTCTGCTCCTTGTTGTTATAATTAGGGTCGTCTCTGCTGGTTTCTAGTTTTCACTATGGCGCAAAAGATTTTGGAACCTTTCAGAAAGTTGCCACACCAATTCCAGAACCTTGAAATAGTTAAACGACTGCATGACTATACTTTGGGCAAACACGCCGATGAGTTCTGCTGCCACCAGGTATGTCTTAATTGATATCTAATTGGTTACAGACGTCTGTTTACGGGTCTTTAGAATCTCCCAGTGCTATTGCCTTTGATGATGTCTTAGGTTTATTGGCAGTAGGAACAAGCAAGGGATTCCTTAAGATGTAGGTTTTAATTCATTAGCTAACTTCTTTAGATATGGGTCACCGGGTGTTGTTTTCACTGTCCAACGCGAAGGTTGTTCTATTACCTCCCTTCTGTTTTTACCAGGCGAGGTAAGTTGGCCCTTGTGATTTATTTTCTATTGTAGGGCCGTATTGTTTGCGCGTCAAGTGATGGAATATTGAACCTCTTCGAGTTGGACTCTAGTCGCGGAAGGTGGTTGCCATGCTGTCATGTTGAAATCCAGCAGAGGTGAGTTATCAATTATGTATCTTATGTATTTCACTGCACTCGAAGCTTTGCCTGTCGTTCACTACCATCTCAGGAACGTAAACACTAGGTCTGTTACTAGTTCGATTAGTTAGTGTCAGCGCTGAACCTAGCACAAACTTGTAGCCGTAACATACTGCTGTGCTCAACGACAATTGGAAAAGAGTAAAATGAAGCGGGAGAGAATGTAGTCGTAGAAGAGATTAAAGAAATACTGTACGCCTAAGGTCATTTTCTAACCATGTGATTAATTCTTGGGCCTTTAAGTGCTAGCACTAATGATATCTGATTCTTAGTGCGGTTATGCCACGTGGCTAGGACCAGTTAAGTGACTATAAGAAAAGGGAGGGAAATCTCGTCGCAGAACCCTAAGAGCTCTGTATTAGGTTTGGGATCTGACCGCCACTGGGGCACAATTTCCTCTGTATATTGTGTTAGTCAGCTATCTGGTGCGTCTGCTAGGTTATTGGCTAATTTTGTAAAAGACGTTTGACCCTGCTTGGTTGTAGAAGTCATAAGTAACGAAGCTAAGTTTAAATCTTGCAACTGTTGAAAGTTGAGTGATTTTTCTTGGAATCCGCCTTAGTGAAGTAGTTTTCCACACCTCCCACAGAATAGACGGTTTTGTCACACTAAAACCACAGATATGACTTTATCGGTCCGAAAATTAGCATCAACCATGTCCTCAACAACAGGAGCCTTGCTTCATTCCTTCGGAATTTGCACGATTATTGGTCCTTTCTGTTAGTCGAAAGAGTGCTTAGTTGCACCTACTACTTGATTCGTGTTAAAAAAGACTGGAAATAAAATTGAAGAATATTTCAGAATTTCTTCCTTCAGGATATTTGTATTTTTCATGATACGTCAAGCATTTGTTACCTAACTATAATTCGGTCTGAATACTTTCTGCCAGCACTGAACAGGATCGTATAACGTGTTTGGGCCTCGGTAATGGTGTCATATACATTGGTTCTGCCAACGGTACTCTACGCCAGGTTGCGATTAAAAATGGTCGTATGATGTCAGGAGACGAGGCACTTACTGCGTGCACCAGTTCAATTATTAGTGAAAGGTAAGCGTAAGAAGTTTTGGAGATGATTTTTTTCAATAGTGTGCATTACTTTTTTGTAAGATGAAAGCTGTTTTACGTAAGTGTAGCGTGTATTCGCATTCCGGGCATCCACTTGAACCTCATCATGATCTAAAGATCTTCAACGTATTCAAACCATAGGTGCGATGGTTTCTTATATCAGGTTTGTCTTTATGATTAATCCTGGCGAAGGTAGTAGCATTCTGTAGTTCATTATAATAATTCTTGTGTTACTACCATGCGTCGTCATTTCAACACTGCATTCAGTTTTGTTGACTTTTAAGCACCTTTTTAATTCCCGAAATTTAATTGTGATATGTAGTTTGTTATTTGAGAACGTACGGCTATTTTTAAATTTGATTATGCTATAAAGTACCTCACGAAATTCGTGCTTTTCATACTGCTCGTCCTCTTCTCACTTGGTATTTCCTGTACCTAGTAGTTTTTGCTTCCTACTGCTATAATCTTAAATAACAAATGTTTAAGTTCGCTCACTAGTTAAGGGGCTAAACCTAGTTTATAAGGGCTGATGATGCTACCCAGCTGTCCAAACTTTGGCCTACGGAGTGCGGTTTGGACTCATGACCATCTGGTCAACTGCTGAGACGGATGAACCACATTTCCAGTAAAATAAGGAGATTAGGGTGCAGAACTGCGTAGTGACTGTTTTGTTTCTAATCCGTTTATTAAGCTTGAGCATCCGGTTACAGCTTTTCTTCGTCTTGATCAGTTTAGCTATAAAGTGCAAAACTGTTTTGGAAACAAAATATCCAAGTTTTTAGATAGCTTTTCTAAAATGTGTCCCTGTAAATGTTATTGAAGGTATCTGCTTGTTTCTTCATCAATTCAGTCGTAGCGTAAAAAGTACTTCAATAACAAAGTTTACGCTTAAAATTTTTGAAATACTAGTTTTATTTCGTTAGTTTTCAGTAACGACCCTTTTTATGTTTATCTACTGTTGTTTCCAAGCTTTACTGGGTCCTGTTGAATAATTGGTAGATTCTTAGTTTTCATCGTAGTCCATTCTTGTGGCATTCAGACATCAATATTGAAACACTTAGCATACTGTGTGGTCATCATCGAATATATCAGTAGGTATATTTCTTGTGATCATTTGTCATTGGATCAAAATGTTTGGGAATTTTATTGACTGTTTCCGCTTTCACTGAGCTTTGCAATATCAAACTAAAGTCGTATGCCTGACATCTGCGGATCATTTAAGACATTCAGGCCATACTTACAATTAAAACAATATTGTACTTAGGTTGCTGAGTTCTTGTTGCTCAGGTAGTGTACAACTCAACTACCTCATTAGTGAACAGTGACATAGTTCCTGTCAGATACGGATCTTGCGACAGGTAGGTTTTCCAGAACAGGAATTTAATCGAAACCAGATGATGATAGCGGTTTATTACTTTCCCACTGACACTTTCCGGCAAACTAACTTGTTTTCCTGTTCATGTCGACGAATCAATTGTTTAGTTTAGGCAAATGCGACAAGGGAGTTTATAGGAGTTTTTATACGACAGCAAGGCTGTTTAACACCATAGTACGAATGGCTTAGCATTTAGATTTTCACCATTTACAGTCAAGTATTCATTTTTACGGAAGGTTGCACTTATTTATAATTTAATTTCAAATGAAATCTGTTTTTGTTCATTTACTTCTTTGCTTCCAGTGTTCCTGTTGATAAACGAGATCAATTGGGGTTGACTCCCCAATCATATCACTTGAGTTACAGCCTCAGGGTAACCATTTGTTGATTGCGTACGCAGGGGGTTGTGTAGCAGTAGCCGTTCCCCAACCAATCCCGGCGGAACCTGTCAATCAGTCAGTCACCCCTGCTGCTGGTGTTACTGCTCCCACTGCCCAAAGTGAAGTTATCACCCCAAATGCTGATGACGAATTGGTTCCATCTGTTCCCTTGGGGCTGAAAGAAGATGCGTCAAGTAATAAAGTTGTGGCTGCTGAGGAAAAGCCCCAGTCCACTTTGGATGATAGTGCTGCTGGTTCAACTCCCAGCACACCTGCGAAGGGACATACTGAGAAACGAGCAACTTTAAAATTTAAGGCATTAACACGTAGCTGGAGACCATCCGATGCATCGAAAGTTGAAGTAAGTTCTTTTATCCCTCTAAGTCGAACTTACTGTTTCTATTGTTTTCATTTGCTTCGTCTAAAAATTTTACTTTAGTTATTTTGTGTATGGCTGTCGAAGAATAGTTCTTCACACTAGATTCTTCATCGTTGAGTGTTGGTGACCATCTAAGGGCCATGATATTTATGATAAGCAGTGGTGATCAGTGGCAGGATAAAAACATAAGTTGTGACGGGACTGGAACTAGTGGCCTCCATTTGGAATCATCTGGCGATCTAGGTTTTCGTTTCATCTTAAACCGTCACTCCGAATCGTTTCTTGGTTGTTACCTAGAGCGAATTTGGTACCAGATCAGCACCAGGTGTGCTGTGCAAAACAAACCATTAAAGTGACAAAAGCGTCATGTTATGAACTGACCACTTCCACTTCTAACTTCTCTGAAGGGAATTGAGCTGTTGGGACGGGATTCATAACTTTTGTCCAACCCACTAAAGTTGCTGTTTAGGGGAAATGTCACTAAATAAATGAGGATCTCGAACACGCATCATTACATCAGAACTGCTCGTTTCACCTGTATAGCAGCAGTTCGATGGAGTTTTCGAACATTTCCAGCTTGGAAATGCTAGGTTCAACAGATGTATGATAAGACTACCCGCCTCGGCACCTTGTATACCCGACCTTTTATAAGTAAGGCTGACGTCACGACCGCACCAAAAGTGACTCAAATTAGCATAAGCTGTTTCGGATTTGTATATAAGGTTGAAAATCTCGTCAGTCACACCACCCGCACTCACGTAACTACCGAGATACACAAACATCCTGAAAACTCCCAATGGTTCTATGTCTGGGGTGTGATTGTAGGTACAGGCTCTTACTTATGTAGTGGAAGCATTTAACTCTTTAGTGCAATGCAGGCACTACGCCAATGTATTATGTATGCATACAGCGTAAACATTTGCGACTCACTTTGGTATGGTAATGTGAACGAAACGAATTAGATCTTAACAATGTTTATAAAGAGTAAATATTATGGAATGTAAGTCACTTTAAATGAGCACAAGTAAATAGGGGGTGGGTGTTTGAAGTTACACCTCATTTGATTAGCGAGTAGTTAAGTAGCGGTTTTTCGCTATATATTACTGCCCCTAATACTTTACTTCTTAATTTCTAACCCTTCAGGAAATCACAACTTTTTTGCCTTTTGCATTTACCCAATATAGGTGGTAGTTCACTAGTTACTAGCCGGTTTTAAGCCCCGATAAAGAGGAAAGGCTGGGCATAAGACTAGCAACCCTACCCCGGAAAATCAATCCAATCGCTAAACAAACTTCAAAGCACAAAGAAATGTCAAACATAAGAATAAACTTATTCCTCGCTGGAATCGCGGAGACGAAATGACGCCGGTTGGTGAAAGCCTTCGGGAAGCCAATCAACCGATGTGTCTTCTCTTCTCTCGATGAAAGCGAGAGTAAGAATGGAGATAAGGAATGTCCACACAATGTTTGAAGGTAGCTGGCGAGGCTGCCCAGATTGGCAAAGAGATGAGAGGGTATAGCATAGAAGTGCTAAGCTGCGAGGAATCTGCAGGTGGAATGAGAGTGGACTCTCCCAACTGTCAACTGGAGAGGAGTTAATAATCTACTCTGATATTGTCACCTAGAGCACACGACAAACATGAACACACTGAGATTTGGAGTGGGTATCGTGATGTCCCCCCTCCCGAGAGCATCGAAGACTATCTCTCATGCAGTGGGACCAATCTCCTCCTGCAGGATCAGGATCATGACAGCAAGATGGATTGGACTCAAAAGGTAGGAAAGTCACAATCATACAATGCTACGCTACACTACACAACACTACACTACGCGCCTACAAATAATGCAGATGAAGAGAAGGAGGAGGAATTCTACAGACAACTGAAATCAATACTGGACAAGACCTCACTCCAGTTGGCGACATCGAAATTCATTCAAATGGGTGGGTTGACATGAATAAATCTGTGTGGAAGAACATTGGGACTGTTTGAAAGAGATACAGGAAGAAACCTGCATAACGGTGTCAGGAATGAAGAAGAAGAAGAAGAAGAAGCAAGACGAGGAATGGAATGAATCTGGACGGACGAATGGCAGCTGATAGAGTGAGAGGAAGATGGTGAAGCAGAAGATGAACCAGTGCAGTGCAGTTCAGGGATGAACAACGAAAAGAGGAACTTAGTAAAACGTATAAAATACTGGACAAGGAAGTGAGGAAGAGTGCATGCTAAGACAAAAGACACTTCTATGACACATTGGCAAGTGAGGTAGAACAGGCTGCAGGTAAGGAGATACAGAGGTCTGACAAAATTATATCAAATAACCAGGTTACTATCTGAGAGAAGAGAGGTCAACGTAGATAAAACCAATGAAAGCTAGCTACCAAAGAGGAGGAAGAAAGGAAACGGTGGGTCGACCACTCCAAAAATCTCTCGAATCGACCACCACCAGCAGCCCAGCCACAGAACTATCGGTTACCACAAGCCTTCCAACAGAAGCAGAAGTGAAGTCCTGAATGCCATAAAGTTGCTGAAATGCGGGAAACCAGCAGGACCAGACGGAATTCCTCCAGGGGCACTGAAAGTAGGCACAGAGACGACGGCGGGCATGCTCACACCACGTCTATTGCAGAAGGTTTGGGAGGAAGGAAGGAAGGAAATGTACCTGCCAATTGATGGGAAGAAGAGCTACCTTGTCAAACTCCCAAAGAAAGGCGATCTAGATCTTTGTAAGAATTGGCACGGAATTATGCCTCTGTCCACGCCAAGAAAAATATTAAGCCATGTCATCCTGGAAAGACTACAAACAAAATGCTCTGGATTCAAAATGACCGCCGGAACAGGCTGCTAACTTCGTGAAAAACAAACCACGTGCAGATCAAATTGCCACGCTGCTCAACGCATCATCATAGAACTCTTTACCTTACTTCAACTTCCTCTATTTTAAAGAGGCCTTTGGCAGCATCGACCAAGAAGTATTCTGACAGTTGCTTCAACACTGCGGTTTTAGTGCCACAAACCTTTATCAACCTCATTCAACAGCTAGCTATATGAAAACGCCACATACCGAGTGATTCACAGAGGAAAGCTCTCTGACGCCTTTGAAGTGAAGACAGGAGTAAGACAAGACTGTCGCCTATCACCGATAATCTTCCTGATTGTGGTCAACTGGATTATGCAGCAAATCGTGAGGAGCTGTGAAAAGATGGGCATACACTGGACTGATGAAAAGACCACAGAAGAAAATGTGGATTTCACCGATGATGATTTATGTCTAATGTCTTGTCGCACAAACTCAGGGAGCTACAGGCAAAAACCAACAAGTTGAAAAAAGATGCAGCACAGACGGGACTTCCTTCAAGTGAACGTAGAGAAGACACAGGTGATGAAGATGCCTGACCAACAACAACAACAAGCACTAATCACCATGAATGGTAGAAACCTAAAGGAAGTAGTCTCTTTCTCCTACCTGGGTAAGGCAGCACCGTTTCAACTACAGGCAGCGGCGGCACAGGTGAGGATGTCAAAGCCGGGATCGGAGAAACAGCGAGACTGGCCTTCATTAACCTGAAACTAGTGTGGATATCTACTACACTCAGCATAAAGTGTGAACAACATTCGGATTTTCAACACTAATTCAGTCGAGTCAGTGCTTCTATGTGATGGTTGAGAGACTTGGTGGCGCGTTATGAAAGGCAATTCCAACAAACTACAAACATACATCATCAACAACTGCCGCCTACGCTCACTTGATACTGAAGATCCGATCAGATGGCTGGAATAATAAGAATAAGCAAGAAGGAAGTCTGGGAACGAACCAACCAAGAATCTATCACCCGACAAATATGTGGTAGAAGAAAGTGGAGATGGGTTGAATTGGGCATATACTGAGTAGACGATTCGGGGGCGTCACGCGCCAGGCCAGACCAGGCAGTCGAGTGAAAGGCAAATTGGAAACGATGAGTTGGGCGTCCGAGGCCAGGGTGATAGGGAGGAGATCGTGTGAAGAAGTAAAAGCTTGTGGGCAGTCATGGAGCCAGGTTGAAAAAGCTTCAGAGAGGAAATTGAAATGGCGACGTGCTAGTGAAGCTATATGTTCCACCAGAAACCCAATGGACGAATAATGATAATAAAGGTAGTAATCCAAGTGTATACCGGCCCCTGTCGTTGCGAATACCAAATCTAACTCATAAAAAATTCCGTTAAACTTTTGGATGGCAAATGATAAGTTTTGCAAAAAGACAATCCTCTAACACTTGAAACAGCGGGGACGTGCCCGTTCAAGTTAAGAGAGATTCGATATAGTCATAGTTGTTAGGTTTGTCACCAGTCACCAGCATAATAATTCCGTAAGTTCCTAAACTCATCTTTTCATAGGGATGTTGATTTGTCTGGTTTTGTCAAAGTGAAGGTTATTTTCCAATGAGACGGTGTATCTGCTGATAAGTTTTCCATGAAACATTTCTACGGCACATGACCCACTTTTCCTTTTCTGAGACTCGAGCAACTGAGTACACTTATTCATATTTGACTGATTTCTCCTCTTTCATTTCAATAACTAGTAGCTGTCCATCAGCATCATTGGCTAGCAATATTACTACTACGTGTCTGTATTTTCTTGTCAAGTTGAAGATGAAGTCAGAAACTGCCTTCCTTGCTTTTTACAAGCGGCTAAAACAATAGCAAAAGTTACTCTGAGTTGGGTGTTTTCTCTAAAAATTATTGTTCACTTTATGTGGGAAACTTTTCGCATTAAATAATCATTTTATAGTTACATATGCAGTTACTGTTATCAACGCACCCATACACACTACCTGAGTAACTTGGTGGTTGTTCTGATACCTTAAAAATAATTATTGTGGCTCATTGGTATGTGTTCAACTTCCTCTCAGTGTCTCGACTTCGAATCATGCCCCACCTGCCTTGTCAGTGGGCAGCGGAGTAATAACATCAAACCACATGATGATTGTGGCTCATGCCCTGGTACATGAAAGCGTTCTAAATTGAGTTGCATTAATTCATTCCACTGCTTCATCAATGTTTTTGTTCAGTATCCAACTGTCGGATATCATAATTGTTTTAGGGATGGGTGTTCTATTCTGTTAAAAGATCAAGCATAAAGTTTTCATGTCATACGAAAGGCAAATTACCATTGGATCTCATTATGTTGATAGGTTTTTATACATATCAAATTAAGTCAACTTCATTTTTACCATCGTTTGGTGAACTTTTTAAAATATCACCAGGCTCACAAACTTGGTTTTCTTGTCTAGCTTTATCTCATTTTGTGTGAAACACACTTTGTAAGTCTGTGATTTTCTGTTAATCTTTTAATTTGACCATATAGAAAGAAGTTGAGCCTCTATTACCTGTGCCACCAGCACCGCGTATTAGTCACTTACTGCTTCGTGATCAACCAGTTGAATGGGCCTCATGGCGTGTAACATCTACAGACTCTCTGTCTACTGAAGTTGTTGTTGCTTACGGAGATGGGGCATTCCAGATTTGGCCTATCGTTGCTGCTGTTAGTGAACAACCTTTTGAACCAATAATCGTGTCGATGATAGATCCACCAAACACTCCGTATGGTAAGTAATCAATATACAACTATGTAGTAGGTTGTACTACAAAGTAAAGTGCACTATATAGTCAAAATGAGCCACTGAATGCTCAACTCTTTTGATAAAGAAATATTTCAAAACAAAGCCAAGAAATACGTGATAGTTGGGATTTGATCTCGGAAGGCTCGTTTGCATTCTGGTTCTTATAGGCGATAAAAATCTACCGCACCTGGTTTTGTTATAGTTCTGTGATACTCAGTAGATAAGCGGGAAAACTTCGGTCATTTGTCGATAATGATTCACTTTATTGTTTAAGTCATTCCTTATTGGCGAAATATTGTATTGGTCAAGTTTCATACTGATATATTTATCGGCGTCTTATCTGTTCATGGAGATATCAGTCTATCAACCGTCAATGTGATTACTTTGTAGACAATTCTTTTATTCATAAAATACTGGTTGTCCCAAGGAATGGCACTTGTTTCGAGAATCGCTAGGTTTTGATTAGGTAGCCTTGTACAATTTTCATTTTTGCTAGTATTGGTTATTTTTAACGTATTAAGCAAGTGCTGGATAACTGAAAAGTCTATCCAGTCATATATATAATCGGTATGTAATCACTGTCCAGAAATCCCCTCAATCAATAATCACCATCTTGCACATTTAAGAAATCAGGCTTACATATGTGTGAATCATTGGAAAAAACCTTTACTGAGTTAACTTGTGTATAACTAGTGGTATGATTAAGGTAACTAAACGCCAGTAGTTACTAAAGTGATCATCTCTGATTATCAGATTTAGCTTTCAGTCTCAGTCATGCGCCATGAACTTGCCGTATCGCACTTATCAACAATACTTTTTGTCACAACTTGGTATTTAATCACTTCTTTTTCCTCTTAGGCCCCCTACCTTGTGGTGCAATAAAGAAAATACGCGTCAATCCATCTGTGAAGTAAGTATGAAGTAACTATTTGTTCTCATATTCTTATTACCTTGCCCAACAGGCTGCTTCACTACCAAGAAACACAGCAGCGGTCCAACAGTCTGTGTGGCCTATAGCAGTACTTTTGTGTGTTCATTTAAATGAAGAGATGAATCAAAGGGCCGAATAAAACTTCTTTCATTTATTACATTCAGGTGAACTAATATTGGTATGATAGCATTTGCGTAGGCAATTGACTTTCAGACGATCCACGCACTGGAGCCTTTTTTCTTATCTATGTTTAAGTCTGATTACAGTCGCACAATAGGTGCGATTCATGATATGGTAAATGAACGTTATATAAGTGATTATGAAGATAGTTAACAGCTTTTTATGTGGCTTTACCAGTGATAAGCTGCTTTGTTTCTGCTTTGTAACTTCGAAACCCATGACCCTCGGTATCGTGGTAGATTGTTATACACTGGTAGTTATGCGCAAAACATTGGAAAATGCGGAACAATTGTTTTATTAAGGTTGAAGAAATCTGTATTTGTAGCTGATTTAGATAGGGCGAGTCAGCATGTGGCCTAGCAATATCGAGTGATGATCCAAGTTGCCACGCATCAGAACAATAAGGTACGAGGCATCGGCATGAAACATCAGAAATGTGAAAGGAAAACATTAAGTTGTAAAAGAGAAGGAATAAAACAATGACGAAGTTCAGTATCTCGATTACGATGACGGTATTGCGTAGATGCATTTGCACCACTGAGATCATCTACAGTCGTCTCCAACCACTGATGTCGATTGGCACGTGAACTCCAACCGGGAAGTCTACATTCACTCACATGGTTCAGATCAACAGTTACGGACTTCATGGACTGTTGCTGTGTTAGGGTCTCACGTTTCTCCAGCCTGGTCTTACTTCAGCTAACATTGCACAACGAGGCAGACGGTGACTAGGCAAGCGTAACACATGTCGCAGCCATTTGTACCGATGACGGTTCACAACCCAACTAACTGACTTACCCCTACTGCTTACAACTCTACTTCGGACGTCTGTGTTACTGAAGTGCCAGTTCCATGAAACATCTAGGATACGAAAGCCGTGGTAGTTGACAACCTGAAGCCTCCGAATATCCTTCATTTTCAATAATCTTGTTTTGCATCGATGTAGCTGAACAAAGCGGACTGTAGCACAGTACAGTCGACCCTTAACAAGCAATGGGGTATCACGCTGGTAACATAAACAGTAGATGGTGGCAAAAGCTAGACGAGCCTTGTGCATCCATGCGTAGATTTTTTTGGTCATAGACTCGCCAGGGCTGATCGGACTTCCTAAGTGATTGAAGTAGTCAACGAGCTAGGCCACTTCACTTGCTTCTATTAGAAGCAGTACCAGCGAAGACCAGTTGTCAAGAAAAGATTCGCATTTTGGGTGGTGAGAAACGTATCACAAATTTTTTCAAACTGGCGGAGTCGAAAGCTGCCTCTAAATCAAGAAATAAAGCTAGTGCCGAGCGTCCGTAAGTGTGCCTCCGTTTCAGAACCTGCCACTCAAGGCGTTGAGGAGACAGCATTTTCAGTGAAAAGAAGTCATCAGTGTAATCTAGGCCTACTTAGTTTTTTCTTTTGAGTCAATTCCATTAAAGTCAGACGAGGAGAGGGAGACCGTTATAAGTATGTCTATGACACAATTAAATAAGAATGGACAGTGGATATCCTTGACTGACACTTTTTGAAGTACACAACTCACCTGATATATTACCATGGGCTCTAACACGCCAATAGGTGTTTAAATACAGTACTCCTTCCGGTGAAACACACTGCCACAAGACCACTCAGTCGATTGAGTCGAAGGGGACCTTCAAGTCAAGAAATACAGCTAGTGTCATGCGTCGGTGTGTCTGTGTCCCAGAACCTGGTGGAGGGTGATACACTTGCGACCAAGTCTGAGACCTGCATGGTTTTCTTATTATTTACTGCTCCAGAGCTCCATTTAAGAGTTCATTTAATGAACCTCAGTTCTCGGACACCATGTTCCTCAAACTGATTACCCTGTGGTGATCACAAGAGGACTTCTCCCCTATCTTGGAAACTGGGACAATCAATGACTGAGACCAGTTAAAAGAGATCATATTTCGGTCCCGTAAGCTAGCTAACACTTTATTTAATCCAACTAATATCTCCGGTAGTAGCCCACTTGTCCTTACTGCCCTTCCTCGTTTGAGGTTGTTTACAGCCTTCTGCACTTGTTAACCAGTGTGATTGAGGCAGCAGGCTGCTGTGTAATTTCACTCTGAGATGAAACTGTGCAGTCTTAAATTATATATATATATATATATATATATATATATATATATATATATATATATATATATATATATATATATATATATATATATATATATATATATATATATATGATTAAATACTATCACCGGTGTAATTTTTTGTCAAGATCGATGTTAGGTCTGAATATGATGCTGGCTGCAGGTTCCAAAACGTTTAGAAATTTGTAGTTATTGGTTCTTCTTAAGGACTGCTCGCAGTTTCATGGGATTTAGTTCCCATGTCTTTTCATGGTCCTCTTCATTGTGTTCTGTTGTGTTTTCATTTCTTTTAGTGGTAGTTTACTAACGGTGTTTTGTGGTGGTTTGCCACGTCCTCAGTTTGAGAATAGATACGCAGTATCTGTTTTACAAGATCATGAACATCATGTATGTTATCAGTTTGGATCGAAGATTATTGATTTCGTGCTTATTCCAAGTGAGGGAAGTGTATCAAGTAAGCTCTTATATCATGCTTTTTTATGTTGTACCTTTAACTTCGACTCTTTAAAATGTGTGCTTTTATTATTAATTTACCTATTATGTTTGCTTCTGTTAGACGTGCAATACTGCTGAATAACGATTCGTTCTAATGATATATTTTAGGATATTGCATTTTACTTAGTCATCAGCACGAAGAAATTCAGTCTTTCAATAAGATTTGAGTAGTATTTCTTCTAGGCTTTTGATATCGCACTACCGGTTAATATTTGAATTCATTTGAAAGTTCCCAGTGTCATTCATTTTTTCTTTCTGTGCTCATTCTAATTAGATGAAGTAGGCCCCAGTGATTATATGACGAAGCCCTCTGCACCAAGTCATTCTGCCACATTGCTGGTTCTAACTGAACGTGAACTGGTCGCCGTTGATCTAACTCAACCGGACTGGCCTACCTATGATTCACCTTATTTAAACTGCATAGATTTCTCTCCAGTCACTACAGTCACGCATATTGGACAGGTATGTTTCAGTCTTCCATTGTTTTTGCATTGATAGAAAATGGTTTAAACTAACATACTTTTAGATGTGAATTTAACACCAGTGGAGTTGTGAATGTGCTTTAAGAAACGAATACTGCTCAGCTGTTCTCAATGTTCTGCGGTTGAGGTTGGTGCGTAATTGGCTTCTAATTATTAGTTGTATGCAATATGAGTACCGAGATATCAGTGTCGAAGTTAGGTTTAGACTTTAAGAAGTGGGGTAATTTCCCAGTGAGTTCGAGTGCACTGTCTTTTATGCGCCTAATAACTTGCAAAGTAAATGCACGTAAACAGAATGATAACTTAATCTGACATCGGAAAAATAAGCATTGTGTCCTATCTTGACTGCATATCAAAAGCCAGAGTAATATACGCCAATCTGGGCCAATTTTTGCGCCGTCACGATGTTAATCTGAATGTATGACGTAGGGTTTCCAACGCTTCGATGCGAGCTGCTCTGCCCTACGCCTGTGAAACCTGACCCCCGAGCTAAGGGTGTGTGACAACTCTGTGTACTCGATCATCGTTGTCTTCGTAGGATTGCTCGTACTCGATGGAAATACCATGTAGGTAATTCTAAAGTATGACAGCCTGTATTTGGGCATGATGGAGAACGTCATTCAATGAATGAAATCATCTTGAAACGCCGGCTTTGGTGACTTAGACACGTGTTACGCATGTCCTCCCAACGGTGTCCCAACCATTCATTGTTTGTTAGCCCTGGGATTGAATAGGAGAAGCGGAAGGGTGGTCAGTGTATGGCTTGGCGGTGTGGAAAGAAGGCTAGTCGTATTGGGTTAGCATTTGTTTATGGATCATGACTCTCTTGGTGGGGTCCGACAAGTCACTCAACTCAATGCCTTGAGACGTTATCGAAACCAGCGGTGGTCGTACTATGGCTTCCTTCTTTCTTCTGCTGCTGAAAAGTAATGAGTGTTTTGTTTTGAATGCATTATATTGGACTGCCTTTTTAATCATTCTGTTCCTATTGTTTTTCTTTTTATTCACTTTTCACTTCGTGTATTCAAAATAGTGTTATGTTATTTTGTGTGGCGCATTTCTTGGTGCCCTTGCTGTAGCATTTGCACATTCTAATAGTAGTAACAATTGATCGCTGAACATAACACGTAGGAGAACGACGAGGAGAAACAGGTGATTAGCAATGCAGAATTTTTATCGCTTCTCTCCATTATTTCTCAAAAGGAGACAACGATTGGTGTATGTATGATTAAGTGAAATATTCTGTTATTTCTCGTAGTATACGTTGAAAGATTGGGTAGAATAGTCACCTTTTTATGAAATTTTCAACTTGCAGCTATTTACTATATTTAAACCAACATAGTAGTTATCACATTATATGGTTGATAAAATGGACGATATGGAAAACCACTTCATGATTATCTGTATGATGTAAGGAGTACCACTCACCATTGCCGCACATTCACATCATAAAACAATCATCCCAAGATAGCCTTACCCGTTATCTTTATGACCCGCTCATGAGCGCACATTAAAAGAAATGGATGGGAGAAATTTCTGCCAGAACTCACCAGTTCCATACGAGCACACTGCACTCAATGGTGAAAGACTACAAATTTCCTTCCTGACCTCAGCGATACTTCTGCAAAGACGCAACGGAACACCCCGTGACAAACAATTTACTCATCGTACTTAATCAGTTGAAGATACGTGATCGTGGGTATGGTGTGTGTTTCGCGTCGCCATTAAGCAGAGTTGTTCTACAAGATGGACAGGAACCAGTACTTGCACTTTCGCTTAGTGGTGAATCGTTGAAAGTAGGAAATTTCATGTACCTTTTTAGTTGTTTGAGTGCTGATGTCTGGAACTGATGAGATGTCGAAGCATATGTCGAAGGCCAAAGTCTGCATGCACCAATCTGGGTCACTTATAGTGGGACCGTGACGTCAACATTGCAAAAGGTGGGGCATGCGAAGCGTCAGCGTGGACATAACTCCTTGGATTGGGTCTGAGAAACAACGCCACTTATTGGCTTAAGATAATTGCTGACACGCCTCAATCAAAATGAGGGACAATAAAGCTTCAGCTTTCTTATTTTTTCCGTTATTGAAAAAGGTAAAACAAGAGTAGTGAATACTTCTTTGGATGTATGTTTGAGGCTGCTTCTTTAATAACCAACTTCTGTTTTGGTTTTCATCCTTCTACTTTTTGTGTCTTTATTTTTGCAATATTCTGTCGTTGTACAATTAATAATGAAGACACTTTTATTCTCCTCAGTACCAGGGTACTCAGACCCAAATGCTAGAGATACGTAAGTGATACTGATTGCAAAGGCAGTTGTTGACACCATAACAGTTTTTAACATTAGGTCTGCAACAAAAGTTGACCTTCATTGGTATATGTTGCGTTCACTTGATCATGGAATTTTTGATTTTGCAGTAGACAGGTAGAAAAAAGATTGAAATATATCAGGTGAGGGGAAGTGTAACCATCGTAACTAAGCCCCCCCCCCAAATGCAGAAATCGGTGGTTGAAGGCTCCATATTGATTGTTTACTGCAGATTTCGGCTCTGCTATGATGCTATCTGTTAAGATGTGTATTTACTAATGAGCACTATTATGTTTCTCTTCTGGTTTACGTTTCATACCATTTTGAGGGTACACGTGAAAATGCAGCATGTTCATTTGTTCCCCACTTCTGAAGTTGGATGTATCCTCTTGGGGAATTTATGCTTTTTGTCAAGACTCAATGTTTTTGCTGTTACAAAGGAAGTTACTGTAATATTTCTTACCTCCAAATAAAAACAGGAGTAATCTATTATCTATAAGTTTGTACGTCTCACACTTGTAACATAATATGTGATATTATCATTCGAATCTAAGAATGCCAGATAGAGTTTGAAGTTGTAACATGTTGGCTAATAGCCGAGCGCTTAAAGCAGAAAACTTATATTTGCACGCAGAATTCGACTTTGAAAAGTTTCGATAGTGTCGTCATGTATCCATCTGAGGACTGAGGCACAGCAACCTAATCACTTCTCTTTCAGTGTATGGCTCCTGGGTTCGAACCCTACAGCACCTATCCTGGTATTCGGGGAGTATCATTGTCCCTTGCTTATGAGACAGGGCTCAAAGTCTTGTAGACAAACTTGTATGGGGTAGATAAGTAACATTACTACTCACCAATCCGAGTGGAGGTGTGACTCAGTGGTTTAGGGAGATGACTGCCAACCATTTAGTCATGATTCGGGTCCCACTCCATATAGCGAGGTCTTGGCAGTCAGGTAGCATCACTAACCCTCATACAATAAGTGTGACTCACTGCCTACTGCATGGATATGTACAAGGTAGCTGAGTGCGTTCCGTTTTCGTCATTTCGTCCACCAATCCGCATTTTTGTGAACCACCATGCGTTAGTCTGTGTTGAATGTGATAAGTAGCGGTTTGTCGTAATCACTCATGATACGTACTTTTCTTTCTTTCCCATCGTTTAGTCTTCTTGTGTTGAGTTGATATTCAAACGGCAACATATTTTTACAGTTTGTATTTGTTATTCAGTATGTTGACGCTAAAAAACGCTGACGTGACACTATTTTTGAAGTCAACCGTGTAGTGATTGTTTTGACTCTTTGTATTCCTGATATTATATGTTGATATGAAGTCACCTAAGTATCACTGTTTTCTTCTTCTCGTGGGCGTTAGCGAACTCCTCATTTTGTCCTCTGTCGATGTTGTTAATATCGGGTGTACTGTATCGGTTTAATTTTCTTGAAGTCTTCGTTTATTTCTTGTTCAGGTACCTTCAGTTTTAATTCAGCGTTTGCATCAAGCTGCTCAGATAAATACAGATGAAATTACTAATTGTCCTTGGCCAATATGGGGTGGTAATAATCCAAATGGAGCCAAAAAGAATTTAGCGCAGAATTCTGGAAATGACGTTATTGCTCTGGGTCATGCTAATGGATGGGTCACTCTGTGGGCTATTGGTCGGGGTGACACCACGATTCATTTGGGAACAATACCAACGTCCTCTTTGTTCAACCTTGCAGACTTACAGAATGGTCAGGTAAAATTACTTCTTTTAATACATAACTTTTGAAGTTGTCTGGTTTATATATCTGTTTTTAATGAAACTGTTTGTATTTAATTTTTTAAACAAACGTTTTCATGCTACAGGTTATAGCTGATTATTATGCGATTATTCTAGCTCTAGCTCACTCAAAATAATTCATAGAATCTCTTTTTACCAATCTAAAGCACTTCGTCTGCATCGTTCATGCTAAACTGTACACGTCATTTACAGTCTTGTACCTCTTCATGTTAGCATAAGGTACACTCTGTAGTCCTACCATAGTCAGTGGTCACAACTTACTTATTATTCTCTCGCTCAGTATTCTTCAGTTTATTGATTTAATCCTCATCACCCACTTGCCATTGCGTGCACAAGCTAATGAGGTGTGATAACTTTGACCCTTACGCAGTAATTCCAGGTTCCACGCTAATGCTCACTGACTCACAGTCTTAGATTGTAGGCCACACAGCTGTCTCTCGTGAGGTAAGTCGATAATAGAGTGGAGGTGAACATAAAATAAGATTGAACTAGACATTAGTAACCAAACAGCTGCATTCTCATTGAAATAGGGACCTTCGTTCACAAACCATGCTTCAGATGAAGATATGCAGAGTTATATTATGATCTAAAAGAATTACTGTGGTGAGTGCTTCTCAGATACATTTCATGTTCCATTGCATTTCGCTTGTATCACTTTGAGGTGCATTGTGATTAAAAACTCATTAGTGCCGTTTCTGAATCTTTGTTCAACCCCAATTTTATCTGTACAATACGAGTCTTCTAAAGCAGAGAAACCAGAATTTTTATCAATATTCAACAGTAATTTTATTCGTTAAATGTTGAGCGACAACAAAACTTTCCAAAACTTTCCATCAGCACGTTCTTCAGACGCATAAATGCATTCCCAGTAACTTGCATTTTCAAATCATGGTGTAGCCTCGTTAATTTGCCGGTGACAGTCTATCCTTGCACTGTTAGCGTACATTACCGTTTTTACTTAGTGAGTCGGAGTCTTTCATTATGATTAAAGTTAGTAACTGTTGGTCTTATTTAGTCAGTAATGCTCAGTATTCCTGACTTCTGTTACATTCATTTTTGTACCTGAAGAATGAGTAATACAAATTATCTTTTTCAGAAGTGTGGAAATTCGGTACTGGAGGAAGAAACTTGGCCACCTTTCCGACCAGTTGGCTATTGTTCCCGAGCTGATCGTCAGTCACTTGAAAATTGTGATCCACGGTTAGCAATCACACAGTTGCATTTATTACTTGGAAGTCCGATACGATCAGGTGTTACTGGTTCAGTTGCACCCGATGCATTGACGCTAGTTGTTGGTGGTGCTGGTGGACAAGTGAGCTTATGGGTTGCTGGTTCAGAAGGATTTTTACATTCCCCTGAGCTCAATTCATTTGAACCTGATGTATCTAGAGTATGTGTTAACCTTATCGACCAGTCAGATGAAAATAAATATGTCTGGAAAGATGCTTCTGCTCTTCGAGTGAGTAACCTGTTTATCTTCTGGTTCTATGTACCAGGTTTCTTTATTCAGCCCACTAAACGGTTGTGCGTATATACAATTAATCTATGGTTTTTAATTGTTTGAATTTCAATATGTAACTGTGTACTGCTCATTTGCTTTTAATGATGGTAGTTTGATGTAAATGATGTGTTGTATTTCAGTTGGATTTTCAACTAGTTGGTTGTGATTTTTGCAGTCTGAACATTTAAAACCATCTCGTAGATTACAGATTCAGATTTTGAATATTTTGTATTTTCATTATCTTATTTTTAATGCCAGCAATATTTTTCTGATCTCTAGCCTGTTGAAGGTATACCTCAATATTGCACACCAACTGGGCTAACATTCCATCCTTGTCATCTTATCCAACTGAACCCTCCCAGTCAGATTACATCACTTGCATTGGAACTATCTTGGAATTTACTGGCTGTTGGCTCTTCTTATGGTTTCGTTCTGCTCGACTTATTTAACCGGTCTATAATTCATACATATTTTACCTACGATCCATCAAGCCCTGCAAAGATTGTTAATCCTGTTGCAAGTAAGTTGACTGCTGATAAATATTAGCTCACGATTGACATTGAGTAGCCTCCTTATTCCTAATAAAATTCATTTGTCTGTATTTGCAGCCGTACAAAATGCATTAATGGCTCGGGGAAAACAAATTACATCAACTATGAGACAGTCATTTAGACGTTTGAAACATCTCCGAACTTCAACAGCCGGTGGCGAGAAGAGTTCAAATGAGCCTGTATCAGTTGATGCACAACAGACCTCGAAGCAAGAAGAGAAAAATTCTGAAATCACACCACCCAAAAGTACGTATTGTCTGAATTCATAATCTCTTTATTGTTTACCAACCATCTACAACTTTATGGATGACTTGAAATGTTTAAATTGCAGAATTTCGTAAGCATCAGTTCCAACTGATAAAGATGATTTTTGTAGCATTTAACTGAACTGCCGTATTTTAAAGACAAATATAATTTTCTCCTAAGTTTGGATTTGGTTTTGTTTTCGGTAATCTCCTAGCTTTTCTTGAATAATTTCTTACAGGTGAAAATGATGACAAAAGCCAACCAGAAGTGACGGATGAAAAAAAAGAAATTGAAGGAACGTCTGAAGATATCACATTCTCCAACCAACCGACCACATCTGAACAGCCAGCGGTGCAAAACCAAGAAACAGTGATAGATACCTCTGAAGTTGATGTTGCATCTGAGCCTACTCAACTAAGCCATGACGATATGTCATCAGCAGTTCGATGCCTCCTATTTTCTGCCACATACATCCTAAACGATCGATCACCGAGTCAAACAGGAGAACGTACTCCTTCTTTATGGATTGGTACAAGTTCGGGTAAAGCACTGGCTTTCAGTTTATCATGGAAGGGTACTGCCGGACCTGTCAAAGCTGCACTGTGCAAAGAATTACAGTTGCATCATCATTCTCCTATTGTATTTTTGGATATCGTGGATACAATTAATCACGGTCCAGTTATGCATAGCCAAGCTTACAGGTATATCATCGTTTTTCACCAATTTTCGTAGTGTTTTGCTGTTGGTGTGTATATAACGTCTGCACTTAGTACGTATTTTAATTTTAACATCGACCTATGCATTGTTTTATGTTTTTTTGATTTTTCCTAATTTTTCGAATTTCCCTCAAGGAATTCTTGCATAGAATCCGATGACAGCAGTGAGAAGCAAGCATCTGATCAACCTTCTGATGCTGCTGTTGAAGTGCCATCAGAAACGGTTAAAGACAACGGAAATACTACACCACCTACATCAACACAAGATTTACACCAGTTGCTTCTATGCTCTGAAGAGCAGGCGAAACTGTTCAGTCTACCCTCATTACGTGCAGTTTATAAACACAAATTCATTGATCGTCTTCGCATGCTTGGCATGTCAATGTCATCTGGTACAGGTTCGATTCCAAAGGTAGAGAAGGAAGTGAATGAAGAAGGTGATGTTCCAGCGGGTGAAAGTGAGGTAAACATTCATTTTCTCCAGTCTGATTTGGTATAGTTTTTTGGGGTTATCTTTCTATCTGCTGTAAGCAGTTGATTCCACAGAAACCTTCCCGAGTACTTGCTTAACATGAGTGCACGTCTGTGCATGGTTCTACGCTGATGACTGTGACATGTGAATATTTAAAATTAGTCTTTAAATCTCTAAGTGTAATCACATTAATTTCCTCAGTCATTTGATTGCTTGTTCTGATAAAAAGGTATTGGAACAACTGATGTGGTTTGTGTTAAACTACCTACTGATTGAATTATTTCAGTTTTTTATACGATATATACTTATTTCGATGGAGTCGTTATCTAGACAATTGCCAGTAGGCTTCAGCTGATTTATGTGGCCTACATTGTTGTGAAGATTAATACATAAAAAAGGTGGAGATATAAACCTAGTTGTATCGAAATAGTTGACAGGTGGCTCCGCTTAATTATTTGAATGGCGCATTTGAGTGAAGAAAACTTTAGATATGTTACTTGGCTTCACCAGTGTTTATCTTAAATTTTCACGTGTAATTTCGGACGAAGGAACTTAAGCAATATTGGCAACCTTTCAACTGGTTCTGTTAATTAATCATACTTTTTCCGGCGGTAATAATCTGTAGAGTATCCTGACAGTTTATCGCGTCTAGTATTATTTTTGTAGTGCGAAACAGACTAGTGTTATCAGTCTCCTGGAGTTGAAAAGTCAAGATTGTAAACGAGTGCAAACTGACCAACGGAATCCAAGGTCCTTGTTTGCTAATTTTATCAGCGTAGGTAATTTTTGATTATCGATGTGGTGTTTTTGATAGAGATGTGAAGGTCGTAGACAACAAACGTTACCTCCGTGTATTGTCGGTTGCGCATTGAATTTCAGTTGCAGTTTTGTTTTCATGTATAACGTCTCGGTGATATTGCGTATGTAAACATAAGCTACTAGATAAGTCCTTTGAAGTAATTTGTTGCACCCTAGATAAACTATTGCTTATTTACGCGATGATAATTCGTTTCGAAATGTACTCGTTTATGTATCTATAACCAGATAAGGACTCACAAGTCCTGTTTTGCTTCAGATCTACTTATTTGTGCAGCGTTGTATCGTAAACTTTGACTTGATTTCTGTTTCTCTTAGCAGATTACCTACGTTAATGTTAGTCAGATCAACCGCAAACGTGTGACAGGATTCGGCCTACAGAGTTTTGCTACTGGAACTGGTGAAAATGCTAAACTGGAATGGAATGCTGTTGCAACACTGTTAGATGGTCAGATTGCTATATTATCCCTTCCTAGCCTTCGCAAGGTGTTTAAAGGTAAGTGCCAGTTTAATTGAAAAACCCTACTGGAATTTTTTTCATTCGCATAATATTTAAGTTATTGATTTAAAATTTTACTTATTCAGGTCGACTGAGTAGATTTTAACATTGAGGTAAAGTATCTCACCCCTGGATAAATATCTCTTGTTGATAAAGTTCAATTATTACGAGTCACCAAATTCACTTTCAGAAACTTTATATTGTGAAGTGTGATACGTTTGACTACAATTTTTTCATTGAAAAGCACATTTGAGTTCATTTAACTGGTTGTTTTATAACTCATTCTCTTCCGCTTGCTTGAATTTCAGTAAAGTATAATTTTAGCAACCACATCGATGTCAGTGCATTAGATTATATGCACCTAGTATGTAAGGGATTACAGTAGTACTAACTCAAAAGTTGAAATGCAAATTACCGACCGCATAGACATTTGTATATTAGGCAGTAAGGTACATCTACTATGAAGATATGTTATACTACCTGACTACCTAGACCTCGCTGGGTAGAACAGAGTTCGAACTGTTGACCCAATGGTTGAAAGTCAGGCGCCTAGTCACAGCTCTAACCAAACGTTGATAGATGATGTAAGGGGGAGACCTGTTGTCCATTAGGTGGAGACCATGTGCCAATGTCAATGAACCACTTTTAGTTTTCTGAGTAGTTTTGTGGCAAATCTTACTCATTGCCTGATGCATGAACATTTATTTTTCAAATAGCATTATTGTTATCACTAAATCCCCCAAAATATCTATTCATATCAAATCTGTGTCGATCGACTCCCAACATCTAACACTGCAAAATATTGTTGTTTGAATGATTTTAATCTAAATATATGTCAAATCCTACATTGGATGAATTCATCAGTGATGCGTGAGAATTCTGATCGAGAACATCTCGTAGATTTCTTTTTTCATCTTCTCTTCCTTTCAGAACGTTGTTTCCCAAGTTATCTCACTTCCGCATTACCTTTTATTGCCACACGCACATTCAACACACATGTGTTTTGGTCCATGGGTTCTCGCCTCTTAGTGTCTGAACTCACTCCTGTTCCGTCGCTGAATTCACTTGCAGTTCCAGTCAACGATGTTTTATCAGATGATTTCATTCCTATACGCCTACCTGACTGGTGCAGGACCCGTAAAGAAGTTCCAGTTGAAGGTGAAGATGCGAAGACCTCCAATTTGTCAATGACAGTTGAATCACGCCGGGTATGAATCCTGTAAATTAATTTGATTCTTTTCGTCACAGCACACTCATGAACTGTCAGTTATTGTTTACTATGATTCTTTTTTTTTTTTAAGGGTTCTATGGATGTGGTAAGTGAAACAATTGATCAAGCTACACCTGTAGTGGAGGAAGAGATTGTGGCCACTACTAAGCAATTGTCAGACACTACATTGGAAACTGATCAGAATGTTGGAGATGTAACTTTAGACTCCATTAAAGAGTATTTAAATGGGTAAGTGGAACTTTTTATTTGTGTTAACTGTTCACATTTTCATTTAACTTCGTGTGTTACGTAACATTTTATTGATACTGGGTGGTGGTTGGTATGTCACTGGTTCAAATCCTGCTTGGACCCAGGCTTTCATTTCACGTCCAATCATCGCCCATAATCATTCATTACAGGTTGTGAAGCCACAGCTATCTCAATCTCATTTTTAATATTTTGTGTTCCTAAATAAGAAATTTGAGTAATACAGTGTTAGCATACTTTTTATTGCAGTACTGAAGGAACAATGGTCGTGAAGACAACCGAGTTGTCCATGGAAAGCGTACTCTCGTAGAAGGTGGAAAAATTACCACCACTGTTCATGAAGTGGAGAAAATTGATGGTAAAGTTACGAAGGACGATGTTGTCAAGATCGTTACTGACGGTGAACCTGAAGTAATGAGTATTGCCGGTTAGTTTATAACTAAATAATTGACTACACTTAGATACATTTATTCTTTATATAATATCTAATTCGTGTATTTGAATGGTTTTGTATTTATATGCAGTGGTATTGTTTTTTTAACTTCTCTGCAATGACTTCATTTCTGTTTTTGACTTGCTTTTATGAAAGAAAAGTTGACAAATGTTATAGTCGCGGGTGAACGCTGCTGAGGAGTCCCATGCTAGGACGAAACAGCTGTCCAGTGCTCCCAGGTTTCCATTGCTCCTCCAACTGATGTCAGTCTACGATGAACAACAACTTGAAATATTTCCAAATCCCCAAAACTCCCTCAAAATGTTATTAAGTCTGACTGTTTGTGCCACCAACTCTAAACCGTAGTCCACGCTACTTAATGTTTGGGTGCAACATATAAACGATACTAAGTGGATGTGCATGATACAGCTTACTAGGCCTTCCACTTTTTTCCTGGAGGAGGTGTGTAGTCCTATGACCTCGAAATATAGTAACTAATCCTCCATCAGTAGGGGAGCTGATGTAAGTTCCACCTTTAGTACCGAACCATTCACCACTTATATCAGGTATTCTGGAGAGCTATTACCTTTATCAAGCTGTGCATTTCAGTGGATTAGTATCAGAATGGTGTATGATATTGCTGAGTAACAGCATAGTATACCGCACCTCGCACTAGTACAAACAACGCAAAGCAAAAGACAAGGAAATAGAGCTTGCACATCCAGAAACGATAGAGAAACAAAGAACAAAATAAGAGGGGATAGAGAAAGCAATGAAATGCGATACAACGTCCAAGATAAAAATGAGGTGTGAGTGCGTATGTACCACGGCAATAGATTCCTAGCCATATCGTCTACTCTCTAATTTGTCGATCTCAGTTGTCGTACAACTTTAAACTAGGAAGTTTACACTTCTAGATACCTAACCTCTATCGTGTTAATGTGATGGTGGCTCTATAAAAAGGGTTCTAGGCAATAGTTGTCTGATACGTGGAGGGTTCTTATGCTCACCTTTAATGACTAGGTTTCACAGCCATAGAGTAGCATATGGTCGAAATTTTAAGCTGTACACCTACGAAGTAACTAGCATTCGTTTGTATGTCCTGTCTCCTTTTACACATTTTTATTAGCTCGAACTTCAATTTTATACTCTTCACCTTCCTCTTTGTATGCTTTTGTGAAATGTAGCAACTTGTAATAATGCTCTGGTGCTCAAGGTTTGGGTGCTAGTTGACTACCCTTTTCCGTGTCACAGGAACTTTCAGCCACACTAAAATCCTTCCTGATTACTGTCGGTGGTTTTGACTTTCGTAAAGTCTACTCATCCTATTATTTTCGCCTTGCACACCTGAGGCTTAATTCAACTACAATTATCTATTAATCAAAGGCTCTATGAGACACTATCATGTCCTGATAAGCCACCCTTAACGTGATCCTCATTTAGCTAACTTTGTTCAGATAGCATATTAATGTCTTGGCTCATGGAACACATGTCTCGGTTACTATGATTAATGATACGCAGTTGAGAAGCTATTTCTTGGCAGGCCAGATTAGATTAACAAGGGTTTTTTAAGTAGTTGGTTTATTGATATTGGATTTTTGTACGTTCGTATATTCCCAGTGGCTTCAGGGGTAAAGAGTTCTCACAAACCGATTCCGGTTTATGAGACTGAATTATCTAACAGTCCATCGACAAAAAAGATGCAAATAGTAATGCAGAAATGAATAGAGGAAGTAAAAATTAATAAGGAGGTAAAGATTTTAGGAAGATGAGTGAATCCTTCCGCTTCTAAGTTGCGACATCCAGGACCAGCAGTCACTGATTACTAACATTTTGTAGACCCAAGAGTAAGATAACCTCCACTTTCACGTCGCCTGGAATAAGAAATGGTAGCTTTGTGCATTGACACTACATCTCGATGTAGCTACCTTACAACTCAATCAGTATCCATCTTTGCGAATTCGAGTAAGTGGTGTTGTGAAGTACATGCTACATGTCCCATCCACTTTGGTTTATTCAGGTATCCGGCAGGGATGTCCACTGTCACTGTTCTTACTTAACTTCGTCTTAGACGTACCAATGAACAACCCTATGTACGTCTGACTTCACAGGGATCGATCTACTCCCTGGATGTCATCTGATTGACTTGGATTATGCAGACGATATCGTCCTACTGAGGGAAGACGCTGACTAAATGTGCTGTCTTCTGAACGTGTTGATCATAAATCTGAGTATATTTGACATATGTTTGGCACCTATCAAATGTGAGATGATGCTCCAGGCATGACTGGTCTTCTACAAGTACTCCCAACTTAGTGGTAGGGAGTGAAGTAGTGAAATTTTTCGATAAAGGAGGCTCGTTTGTGACTTGCCAACTTGCATCACCTGTGGCGCCAACTAGCGAGATATCCGAGTATCTATCAGAGGACGAATATTCTGCTCTGCAGTCCGTTCTGTCCTGTTGTACGACTGTGAGACATGGTCGTTAGACATAAGACATGAAGTGGTTGTAGTATTTTGATCATGGATGTCTTCGTAGTATTGTTCGTATGTGATGGAATGATTGTGTAAGGAATGTTGTAGTCAGGCGAGGGATACTAGGCAAGACAGGCTGGGACGTCGATTGACGAGGTTGTGAACCTTATTCGACTGAGATGGTTTGAGGATGTACTGCTCATGCTGAACCGCTGCCTACTTCAATGTTTCGTGGTAGGGGAAGTTGGATTAAGTTGGAGAGGGTTGGGGGTGTCCAGAGCAAGACGTGGTACTGGTCGATAAAGTCCCTGACTGTTTGTCTGAGTGGTGTTGGGGGGATACAAACTGCTTGGTTGAGTTCGTCGAGACGAAAGGAATGCGTGGTTGATGTCTATTGGTGACATGCATGAAAATCGGTGAGAACGTTGAAGATGTATTCACTCCTTGACATCTTTTGAAGCCTGAATATTCCCACTCGTATACTACTTTGATATCAATCTTTTTCTATCCATCTGGTCTTTGTGCACGACTATGAAGTGTGGTAACTCGATCCGATGCCTCTCTGCAAGGTTCTACGTTGATCTTACCAGTTAGGTTTAAAAATATCACTTTCATAAAGATTCCTTCATATATGCGCCTTTACGTTATGTCTTCATACATGAAACAACAGTTATTGCTACTTAAATTGGTCTGAGTGAATTTAATTTTATCCTTTATTCAATAATTAGCCTTTAAAATCAATTCGTTTCTTATTCAGTGGTCCATTTTCTGTTTCTTCCACATGAACAAATCCAACCACAAATACCTATCGTATAGTGTGTATATTGCCTAAGAAACTTTTTAGTGCATTTATCTGACCGACCGCAAAGGTTGACACTGAGGTCGTTGAAACGAAACATTTCTTTGCTGATGAAAATCTTGTTCTTCTTATTCATTAATAAAAATGGGTATGTTTCGTCAGTTATTCAGCTTTTGTCAACTGTGCTTATCTGATGTAGACAAACTGGTATCGCTCTGCTGCAGGTGTCGCATGAAAACAAAGTGAAGTTATTTTCATAATTTTTGAAATAGTTCGTTGTTTAGTCACTGGTGAGAAGTAACATTTCAGTTTATAACGTTGTTACCTTCAAACGCTACTCCCTTTAATTGTTTTGAAATCTGTTTTCTTTTCCGAAAACATAGGCACTGCTTAAATCGTCTGGATGCCACTGAATATCATCCAACTGCACACAAAATTGAACATCAACCATGGAGAAGCAGACTTTGCTCTCTAGGATTATTTTATTTTCATTATCGTGATGTCCTGTTCATTTCATAGACAGTAATCGCTTTTTATTCCTCTCCTTTTCAGTCAAAATCTGACATTTTATACTTATTTATGTTTTCTCCTTAAATGCATATGAATGTGTATTTTGCGTAAACTGTTTCATTCAAATCTCATGCTATCTTATTCTTCCGTACAGGTATTACCGCTTTCTACTGCTTCACATATATTGCTTACATTCTAGTCGGTTGTCCACCGGTGGTCATCACTATTTGACATTCTCGCATCCTGTTTTAGTGTTTTGTGTGCCTTTTTGTTTTGAACTTTCAAACTAATTCATATTCTATAAACGCCTATCTTTTATGTCATCCTCTTTTGTTATTATTTAAAAGTCTTTGCTAAGGGATAAATTTCAGTGTTTCAATGCTATTAACTGCACTCCTGTTTTGTTGAGGAAAATTCTTTTTTGATCTGTGTGCTTTAAATATCTGTTTTGTGGGATTTTTTATCCGTTTTTTTCTGCCATTTATGATTGCATTATTATACTACCTACTGTCTTATTCGATCACGACGTTTATGCGAACTTGATAACTTCATCACTGCAATGTCATGTGTGTGGGTATGTGTATGCGTTCATTCGTTCGAGTTTGATTTGGGGGAACCAGCTACGCTTCATTTTACGCGTATGCATTTTAATCCATTGTTAACGAATTATGTATCAAATAAGTGTTAATTCATTGGTGTTTTGTGCCTCTTCTATGTCGCCGCACACATTAAATTCTTGTTTCGTTTTACTTTCAGTTTTACAAAAATACTTCATATGTGTTTGTTTGTGCTTCAAAGGCTTGTATATTGTATACCTGTTTTTTATCTGTTCCCTTCGTTTTGTTTTGATCACTTTACGCACATGGTTGTTTTTTCTGTTCTAGTTCGATCTCGCGCAGCACAGATGCACACAGAAGAAAGCAATGTATATGCATACAAGCATAGGCCAAGTTCTATGTGAAGTGTGGTGCTTGTTGTGATGACGATTATGGCAAAACAGTGACACTGATCATAGTTTACTTGTCAACCTTTTCGTTTCTGTTACTTATTGAATGTGTGATTAATTGTCTTGGTTTTTATTCGATCGCATTAAGTTTCAATCGGGCATGAACGTATACTTCTATTATTATTATTATTACTGGTACTATTATAACAAACAAAATTTAATTATTATCATTATGATGATAACCATATACGTGAATAAACGTTCATTGTGTCATACTCATCCTTGCTATTTGTTGTCGGTTTCAGTGGTTGTGTATATCCACATCAGTGCTACCGTTTTTCTGTATGATACCACTGAAGCAATATCGTATGGTAATCATATCCTTTTAACTGGTATAGAAGTCTTGAAATATTTAGGTGCAGCCTTTTCATAAAAGTCGAAACCTCAGTACTCGTGATCGTTTCACTCTTGTCTTCTAATTTTCAGAGTTAAATGAAGTACTGAGTCGCAAATACTTGTTTTTCCAACGTACTTTCACTCTATGATAGTAACCACATATAAAGTTGCTAACGTAGGCATAATACTTGAAGAATATGTTTCTCGGAAAATACAAACCTATGATTGCACAAACGAAGGCTGATGTGACCAGTGTATTTTGGGTTAACCACAAATTGTACTTGTTTATTCGTATCAAACAGTCTTGTCATGATAACTGCTTGGCTTTACTGGCGATAAAGGAATGAGCGATCTTAAAAAGTTTATTCTGTGAGCGTGTAGTGTTATTACCTGTATTTCCTACACCATTCAAGTGACATCTGTTTATACTTCTAGTTGCTTTTTATTTTGCTGATTGTAGGAATGACTTAAAGACTTATTTTACTGTATGTGGAGTTTTGCTAACTAGTTTTCAGGCACATGGAATTCACCTTCATTCAGCTCAATGTGGAGAAAGTAACAATGATTATATGTCTGGGCCTTTTAATATGTATATATATATATAGTGTCTATGGACTTGTTGTGCATTTGTTTTTTTTGTGGACAGGAATCACAGACTGAATAAGGTTACAAAAAGGAGCGTTAAGTCTACTATACAGTAAATAACATTTTGTTTATTTTCGATTAGTCATATCGTTCATTCTCTAGCTGCCTATTTGTTTATCTTTTACATATTTTATTCCATTTTTCCTTAATTATGTCTTCCAATAGCCTTAACGTTATATAGTATGGGAAAAAGAAATAATTCCTTGTGTATAGAGATAATTTGACAATAAATGAGTGTCTAGTTTCAAAATTAGTACATGCGTAACTTTCATTGATTGGGTTCCGAGTTGACTTTAGTTGGCCGACTGATGTGTATGTGAACGGAGCTGATAATTGAAATTCAAGGAAAACTTGTTTTACCTTTCAAGTTACTAACTGGGAACTGTGCTTGCTGGACTATTTAAATAGTGATTTTCAGTCAATATAGACGCGAATTTTGTCTGACTGTCGTGTAAATAGACGGTCCATAACCGTTCCTAATTCTTCGCACTAGATGGTAGCCTGCAGCAGTGTAACTGAAGGCTAGCGTCTCCTTCCCGATCTATCTCTGTTTGAATTGAACTCAGTTATTAGACTAGGTAGCTGATGTGATTACCAACTAGTTGATCGTAAATTTCTGGTGGTTGGATATACGATAAGCTCTCTGGTCTTTCAAATCAGTTAGTACGTCGCTGCTCTGGTACACTGAGGAGGCTGCGAACTTGCAACGTTTTGGGATGTAGGTATCAAGTTTCCGTTAGTAACATGATTTTCGTTTCTACAATGTTTGGTTACCATTGTAAAACGTGCTATACTTGCTTCAGACGTGCAGTGGCTTGTGAAATGGATGCAGAAAATGTACTATTATAGTTCCAGTGGTTCGTGTTTCCCGACGGCTGTAAATAAACATGTATATATCAGTGGTTGACGTTAACTCGCGGTACATAGGCTGGTAATCTGTTCGTAAGTCAGGTGTCATTATGTCATTTATAAATAAATAAATATCTTTATTCTCAAGTTATAAATTTAACATGAGATGTGAATATACTGTCAAATAGCAGAAATTAATTGTTCTCATTTCTTGTATTTAGTTCTGAAGGTTCAAATGAGTTTCATGAGATTTTCTACAAGTTTGTCAAGCGTGATTTGTTCCCCACGCTTTCCTCACAATGCTAACTTTCCAGCACAAGGTTTGGAAGTCTAGTTTTGCTTTTACCTATGGAGGTGTAGGGACTAGTAGTAACAGTGTAGAGAAATCCACTGGAGTGACCGATTTTGTTTATTGAAAAAATGCAACTGATGATGGTGTGTTATCCGTTTGCAAACAATCTCTTATCTGCATCTCATTCCGTACTGTTCTTGCCGCTTGTATTTCCTTTCAATATTATGTATCCTTTTCGCTTGATTCCTTACCAGCTTGTTATTTTCCATGTTGCCGTATATACTACTAATAAGTAGCTGTCGGTTCAGTAGTAGTTCACAATCACAGCCACGGTTGGATTACTATTTTACTTGTGGAAAGATATCACTATACTCAACTAAAGTAGATGTTTCAAGGTTGAAATCCATCCATCTAAATCAACATAGGATCTGGCATTACTGTGTAACGGTCCGAGTTGCCACACCTTATATCAGTACATCAAGTAACAAGGCAGCGAAGTGAAAGATAAAGAAAAGAAAACTCAGTCAAAAGAAATATAAAGTACTCTAAGAGAGAGGAAGAATGACAAAATGGCGAGATTCGGTATAGCGTCTAGATGGGGGATAATGTGTGTATACATCTGCGCGACTGACATCGGTTCTGAGCCATGCCGTCTCCTAGAGTCTCCAACCACTGGTTCCTCTTGTCCCGCGGACCCCAGCCGGCTAGTCTGCATTACCCCACACGGCTCAAACCAACAGTCAAAGACTTCATACATTGGTGCCATGTTTTAGTCTGGCCACCTCGGGCCTTCTTCCAGCCCGAACCTACTTCGGCCAATATTGTGTGACGAGGCAATCGGTGACTAGGCGTACGTAAAACATGTCGGAGCCAACCATCTTAGTCGATGAAGCTTCACAATCATGTCAACCGACTTACCTCTTTTCCCTAAAAGTCTACGCCTTAGTCTGACTTCTGTGTTACTCACGTGGTGACACCACGGAATACAGCTTATACTACGAAGACACCGATGGTCTAACACCTGAAGTCTTTTCGTGTCTTCCACCTTCAATGACCATGTTTCAAAGGCACAGAGTAGACTGGTGTACAGTGCACGCGACTCTTAAAAGACAGTCGAATATCATGGTGGCGCCACAGATAGTGTAAGTTAGCAAAAGCTACCCTAGCCTTTTGTATTCGCACAGATTTTTCGTCGGTCACTGAAGCACTATGGCTGATCCTGCTTCCCAGGTAAGTGAAGTGGTCAACACTCAACCGTGGAACCGTTGTCGACGAATCCTGGAGCAAACATTAGCATTTGAATGGTAGGAATTGCAACGAGTTTGCACAAGGTAGCTTTGTCTGTGTCGTTCGTTCGTTCGTTCGTTACTAACTCACTCAAATTCCGTATTTGTGGTAATGCTTTTAAATCATTGTCAAGGTTTTCAAAACCTGGTGGAATCAGCTATCTTTCATTGCATCTGATTCATAGTTTCGTGCATATGGTCTTTATGTTGGGTTACTGCTGTTTCTTCCTATATATACTTTTTATTCTAATTTTTATAATCATGAGATGAATACTTCTAACTCGACCCGTTTGATTCAACTGGATTGGAAAACTAATGTGTCCAGTGAAAGGTATGTCTGGTGTTCATGTGAGCATTTCTTAATTCTAGGTTAATGAAAATCTGACGGATTCGTTTGTTTTATCAATTAAACGATGGTGAGAAATCAAGTTTACCAATCAGAGTTTAGAAGTTGTTAGTTATCTAGTAACGTTCTTTAAAGTTCTCTTCATAATATATCGTATTGCATATTTCATTTACTCGACGTACTAGATATTCTGCAAGGTGCATTAGGTCCACGAACAATCAATCGTTTCATACCGAAGTCCATTCTACGAAGTGGGTAGCAAAAATCACCTAAGCTGACATTGAGAATAGAGTATTTTTGACTTGTATTAGTATTATACCTTACCTAGTTAACTAGCCGGTCCTAAGCCCGGATAAAGAGGAAAGGCTGGGCATACGACTAGCAACCCTACCCCGGAAAATCAATCCAATCGCTAAACAAACTTCAAAGCACAAAGAAATGTCAAACATAAGAATAAACTTATTCCTCGCTGGAATCGCGGAGACGAAATGACGCCGGTTGGTGAAAGCCTTCGGGAAGCCAATCAACCGATGTGTCTTCTCTTCTCTCGATGAAAGCGAGAGTAAGAATGGAGATAAGGAATGTCCACACAATGTTTGAAGGTAGCTGGCGAGGCTGCCCAGATTGGCAAAGAGATGAGAGGGTATAACATAGAAGTGCTAAGCTGCGAGGAATCTGCAGGTGGAATGAGAGTGGACTCTCCCAACTGTCAACTGGAGAGGAGTTAATAATCTACTCTGATATTGTCACCTAGAGCACACGACAAACATGAACACACTGAGATTTGGAGTGGGTATCATGATGTCCCCCCTCCCGAGAGCATCGAAGACTATCTCTCATGCAGTGGGACCAATCTCCTCCTGCAGGATCAGGATCATGACAGCAAGATGGATTGGACTCAAAAGGTAGGAAAGTCACAATCATACAATGCTACGCTACACTACACAACACTACACTACGCGCCTACAAATAATGCAGATGAAGAGAAGGAGGAGGAATTCTACAGACAACTGAAATCAATACTGGACAAGACCTCACTCCAGTTGGCGACATCGAAATTCATTCAAATGGGTGGGTTGACATGATTGTGAAACTGGGAGCAGACGGCACAGGAAGAGAACTCATGATGGGTGGAGAAGCACTCGATGAAATGATGAATGAGAATGGAGAACTGTTTACAGAGTTCTGCGCATTTAACAATTCGATGATTGGAGTCAGATAGTGTGTACAAGCGCAAGAATATTGACAAGCCAGCGACATGGAGTTGATTTCACCAGACACCAGGACACAGTGAAGTCGAATTCAGATCGACTTCATATGAATGTGAATAGAGTGGAGACGCGGCCTACTGGACAGAAGATGAGATGAAGAAGGGGAGCAGATGTAGGTTGACACCAGTCAGTATCTAGTGTATAGAACCTACTTTGGAAATCAAGTTGAAAGCCTTCAAAGAAGTTGGT